TTCTAGGGCATATTTCCTTCAGATGAATTGGAGCTAGTTCTGTGTCACCCTACGTTATGACTGTTACATGATGAACCGCATCTGGCATAATTCTCTATCACTGATCCATTGCCTACGAGCTTTCCATATATTGTTCTTCGCTTATTTACTTTTCCGTTGCTACTGTTACAATCACTTCAAAACCCAAAAATATTAGTTTTGCTACCGTTACCTTGCCACCGTTACCACTACTATCATATTACTTTGCTACTAAATACCTTGCTGCAGATATTAAGTTTCCAGGTGTGGTTGAATTGACAACTCAGCTGCTAATACTTGAGAATATTCTTTGGCTCCCCTTGTGTCGAATCAATAAATTTGGGCTGAATACTCTACCCTCGAAAACTGTTGCGATCCCCTATACTTGTGGGTTATCAGGCATCTCCCCATACATCAGAAAAGATCAACTCAAGTGGTTTGGTAGATACACTAGTAGACATTGGATAGGGTAATTGGTGACTTTTTGCTCGTTGACATGAGTCACATACTGACTCAACATCTAACTCCCCATGACAAGGAAGTTTATTATTCCTAAGCACACGTTGAACTATTGAAAACGAAGGATGACCAAGCCAAGCGTGCCAACGCGATGAAGATATCTTGATGACACCATAAGCTTGTTTATTTGATGTCCTAGATGGAATCAATGGATAGAGACCTCCTCTACATCTGCCTCGATGCAGCACCCTCCCCGTGACCTGATCCTTGATAAAAGGAAATAAGGCCAAAACTCAATGTAAACATGATTGTCAAGGGTAAGACGATGAATGGAAAGGTGATTTGTGAGGCAGTAGGAATATGTAGAATTTTGTTTAGATGGAGATCTTGATTTTGGGTTCTGATAATGGAATTTCCAACATGACTAATATTCATACATGTACCATCAGCAGTGTGGACCTGATCGCCTCTGTGGTACTTGTCACCGGTGGTTAACTTCTTGAGTTCACCCGTGATGTGATTAGTAGCGCCACTGTCGGCGTACCGATTTGTGTCCACCCCATAGGATGAGGTTGCTACAGATCCGGCCACCTTCTCTTCTGGAAGATAGTCATCCGTGAACCGGTACCAGCACTCCATGGCAACGTGGCCTGGCTTGCTGCATATTTGGCTGTGGGGGCGATTGTCGTTGCGGAAACCCCCACCAGCCGGTCCTCCTGGTCTTGGGCGCCCCCTGTTGTTGTTGTAGCCAGGAGAGGCACCACCAAATCCGCGGCCATGTTCACCGCGCCCGCCACCACGGTCACGGGACATGCCACGACCACGCTGCTGACTGCGCCCACGAGTAGCGGCGTTGGCTGAAGATTTGAAGCCGCCTTCACTAGAGGCTTGAAGAAGCTCGATGCGCTGATCAAAGTTCGCCATCTGGGAGTACAGTGCATCTAGTGTAAGTGGTTCGGTACGAGCATCAAGAGAAGATACCAGGGGGTTGTATTCCAGGTCGAGGCCGGCCAGGATGTATGAGATCAGTTCATCTTCGCCAAGTGGTTTGCCGGCAGCCGCCAGCTCATCAGCGAATGACCACATCTTGGCGAAGTAGACTGCGACTGACTGGGTTCCCTTCTCGGTGTTGGAGAGGGAGATCCGGAGGTTGTTGATGCAGGAGTGGGAGTGCGACGAAAACATGTTTGTTAGAGCGGTCCATGCCGCGTGCGCCGTCTCCACGGCGACCATCTGCGTTAGCACCTCCCTCGTGATCGAAGTCAGGAGGTAGGCGAGCACTTGCTGGTATTGGGTGACCCAGGTCACGTGCGCCGGGTTTGGCATGCTTGTAGGCTTGCCATCTTTGTCGGTGCTGGTGATGGTTTTCTTAGGCTTGACAATGGATCCATCTAGGTACCCGAAAAGGGAAGCTCCAGTATCTGGGGAAGGAGTTGGGTCTTCCACAGAAGGAAGTTTTCACGGGTAAGCTTCTCGATGATTTGGTTGTTGAGGGGATTGGCCATGGTGTGGGATGAGGAGGAAGACATGGCGGCTAGGAAGGAAAGGCTAGATGTGTTTTGGAAGGGAAGCTCTGATTACCATGTGAAAATAAGGAAGCGTGTTTTTACCTACCATAGTAGGCCGCTGGTTTCGTGTTATATAGGATCAGCAAGCCCTGATCGAGGCGTATACAAGATATCGTTAGAGACTTGGGTTACAAGAATATAAAGAGATAACAACGAATCTAAACAACTCTAGGCAGGATTCGGTTTTGGTTTTATCTCAACCAAACCGAGTACAACCAGAATATCTAGAACTCTCTAGACTATTCCTAACATAGAGAGGCCAACCTAAGTTGCATAGTGAGAAGCCTATCCACAGTTTGCTTTAGCTTTGGACTTATAGCCATCACATCAGGGCACAAGTTGGGGTGAGTTGTTGAGGGGACACTGACAAGTGGGGTCTAGGGATACTTTGGTTACTTCACCCCGGTCAATGACTTTTGACCGGGCAATAATGATGTCTAGTGGCATTTTTTAGCACACACTTAACAAAGGGATAACATTTTTGGGTAGTTGAAAATTCTAATGACAAATGGAGGAATGTCACATAACTAATGAAAAACTGATCGAAACCCTTAATTATATAGTACACCCATTTTAGCAAGAACACAACCAGGTCGGGCATGATAAATGGCATGGAGGAGCAAGCCGTAACTAGTGAGAAGATGTACTACATTATTTTCCCCCTCCCCTCCCGCGACGCTCCCGTAGGCGTCCGAGAGGCAACCCTGGCGCCACCACCACCCCCCTGCTTCTCTCTCTCCTCCCTCGCCGCCGCCAAGGGGCACGAGCTGGCGAAGCCCGATCGTCGCCGGCAGCGGCGGGGCCATTTCGTCTCCTTGCGCGGGAGGTGCGGCGCGGGCCGGATCTCGACGGTGGGGATGTTGCGCTCGATGTCGGGCGTAGCGGTGCGGCGGCGCTCTGGAGTGGGCCAACGACGGCGGCGTGGCGTCGGGCGACGGGCGTCATGGTGGTGGTGCAGGTCGGCTGGTGGCGGCTGCCTTGCAGGAGTGCCTCGGCGCCACGTCTGGCGCTGCGGGTCGCGGGTGGCC